GAATTAGAAAAGCTTTGTTCCTATCCAAAAATGATCATTTCCCAAGCTCAGATAACTAGGAATTCTGGAGATTTTATCTAGCTTCAGATGTCAGTTCCACACCACTGACAGCCCCTAAATTAATCCTATCACTCACAACTTAAAGAGAAAGAGATGGCTCTTCTATATAGCTTTGGTAGAAAAGCCCAGGGAGGATTTCAATTTGCCAGACTTGGATACCATGCTCATTCTGGAACCAACCACCATAGTCAGAAGGAGGATTATACTGCTTGACTTAGACTGGGTCACCGCCCACCCCTGTGGCATGGGAAATGGGTCAGCCCCATCCAAACGGGGTCTCAGTGGTTCCTCCCAGTAAACAATGGGCTCTGATATCAGAAGACACGGGAGAGGAGTGTTGAAGTGCATGCCCCCCCATACACACACACACACACACACATCATTTTTTTGTGCCTATCCCAGGAAATTAGTAGATGTGGGTTGTAGGCTTAACTCTCTAACTGGATGCAGGTCACCCAGTTGATATATGATCTTTGGTTCTGAGTTTTCTAATCATTTACTAAAAGGAGATGACTCATTCAACATTAGCCTTAAGTACTAAAAGATGGACTGAAACAGGGTATTAGAAAAAATCTTGGAAAAGTATGAAGTGCTATATAATTATGTAGGATTATTATAAGTGAATAACTACAACTGATATAAGAGAAAATAAAAGACTCTTTCCTACCTCATCCAAACCTATAAAAATCTTTAAAATATCCTTTACAATGATGAGCACCACAAAGGGCCTCATATTGCAGTTGGTCTAGACAGGAACTCTTGTGCACCACCTTCCTGGGACTACTAACAGGTCCATAATGTTCCCCTCAAAAATGACTTGCTTCATTCTATTCCAATCCCTGCTCCAGTCATAACCTCTTCACTCTGTTGATCTTTAAAAACCAAAATAAAAAAATTTTAAGTAGCCCTATACATACTGTTTCAAACTTTAAATGCGTTAGATGAATTGATATATATGGTCATTTGCTGTGGCCATAGCAAATAGCAAAAGACTGAAACAATCCAAATGTCCACTATAAAGAGGCTGTATAATAAAATTACACCACATCGGGCGCCTGGGTGGCTCAGTCGTTAAGCGGCTGCCTTCGGCTCAGGTCATGATCCCAGGGTCCTGGGATCGAGCCCCACATCGGGCTCCCTGCTCAGCGGGAAGCCTGCTTCTCCCTCTCCCACTCCCCCTGCTTGTGTTCCTGCTCTCGCTGTCTGTCTCTGTCAAATAAATAAATAAAATCTTAAAAAAAAAAAAAAATTACACCACATCTATATAATGGAATAGTATATAGCTGTTAAGAATAAAGAAACTCCTCATGCACTAACTCAGATAGGATTACCTAGATACATTCAGTGAAAAAAGCTAAGTGAAAGATTGGTATATAGCTATGCTGCTATCATTTGTGTAAAAGGCAAGAAAAGAACACACACACCATGATGCCAGGCATAAAGGCATGGGATCTCTTGGGACGCATACAAAGAAACAAATTACCTTGGTTTTCACTACAAAGAGGAGCTGGGTTTGCTGAAGAACAGAGTGTGGGAGAGACTTTTTTATCTTTTGTATCTTTTGAATTTTGCATCATGTGATTATATTAACTTTGCACCAAATAGACAGATTGATAGCATAATACAGCATAAACCTGTGGAAGGACAAAGACACCACCAGGTCATATAGATCTGTAATAATTAAGCACAGAGGTTGATGCATTTGGCTGCCAGAATAATCCACTCTAAGTTTAATAGTCTAACACAGTAGTTGTGTTAATGTATTAGGGTAGTGATTGGAATATAACAATCAACCTGCCCTCCCCCATCAACTTCATGAAGCACATGGTCACTCAACACTTGAGCAAACACATGCTTCTATTAGCAAAAACAGAGGATGAAGTAACCAATTAGGTATTCAAACAAGAGCATCCTCCCATTTATGTAAGTATGTATGTACGTATTTTGATGTGCACACACACACAAACACATACACACACACACACACTAAAGTATGAAGATAAATGGGTAACCAGATTTTTAATACATTTTCCATTTCACAAATACTCCCTGAGGATACACAAGGAACAATTTATGAGTTTTTTCAGCAAAAACTACCAGAAACACAGACCTATTTTGACTTAAACAAATTGGAGTTTACTTCTCCCAGCTAACAAGTAGTCTGGAGGAAAGTAGCTTCCGCATTTGTGGTAGCATGTCTACAGTGTCAAGGCCATTATTTCTGTGAGTATCCTGTCCATTACCTTACGGCAACAAGATGGTTGCTCTTACTCCAGGCATCACATCCATATTCAGAACAGGAAGAAGGTAAAGGAGGTGATGTCATCACTTTTAATCAAGAAAAGAAAATACTGTCCCAGCAACCCTCAAGTGGACTCTTACTTGTATCTCATTAGCCTGACCTATATTGTATGGCTATTTCTGAAAAGGAGTCTTAAAACATAAATACTTAGTTTTTACAGTATATTAGAGTCATGCAATGGCAAAATAAGCTCAGAAGGACTACTGGACAAACCAGCCCACAGTATGTGCCACAAGTACTCTGATAGGCTATAAAAGTTGGCACGTGGAGGTGATAAGTGTAACCCCCCAACAGTTTATGTGCTTTATTGCCTGCTTTCACAATATTTTAAAATGTGACAATATGATGGATTTTAGATTGGATGCACAAGCTGACAAGTAAAAATATTGAAGGCTTTTCATAAATCCAAAAATAAAAAATGAATGTACAAGTTATACATTTATATTTATGTGCCTTCTTATTAAAGGTAATTGTCCTGCCAAATAAATGCACATCCAAAAGTTACACACATTTATTTTCTGTATATTTCTCATTAAATGTAAGTTTTGATTTGTTTAATGAATTATAATTGCAATTAATTTCTCAGGATCTATAGACCAGTTCTGTTCCCTCCACTTTGTTAAATGCTAAAGTTTTGTTATAACTTAAGTCCCAAAGAGTTGTTAATTTTATCATAAGCTTTTCTACAAAGAAAATCAATTACCCTACAGTGTCACCATCAGTCTACAGTGCAAAAGCATTACACATACAAATATTTTTCCTGAGCCATTTGCAAGTAAGTTTAAAACATTATAAGCCTTTCTCCTAAATACTGTGTAATAGACCCCCCTAAAAAGAAAGAGATTCTCTTACTAACTAGAATATTATTATGCCTAAGACTATTAATGGTTCTAATTAACAAGACTATTAATTAGTAATTTTTATGAATAATAAGTATTATCATTTAATCTCTTAAAACTTCTCCAAATGTCTCCCAAAGTATTTTTTTAATCAAAGGCTAATCACACCTAAATGTTTTTGTTTAAAGTGCCATGTTTTCAAAATTATTCATCCAAAGGTAGTTTCCTACATCATTTTTATTGGCTGTCAGTTGATCGGTATTTGGGTTGGAGTCTTTAAATACAGGTTTTAATATTTATAAAATAGCCACTTGTTTTGCATTTTTGTATCTAAGTGATTACAGAATACAACAAGAAGCTTTTGAGAACACTATACTTTATAGGAAGAAAAGAAAAGTAGGGAAGGAAGACAGGCAGGATTATTTTTGACTTAAAAAAAAAAATGGAAATGCACACGTGCATATACATGTAAGCACATGCAGGCACACCCATACACACACACACACACTTACAGCAAACACACTCAAAATTTGCCCCCAAAATACAATTACAGAATTCCAAATCACAAACTCAAATAATAAAGACTGCTACTTGATTTAACTGTTTTAAATAAATATAAATCTGCTACTTTAATCAAACAAAGAAAATACTCAGAGCTTACCCAACCTGAAACTGAAAATCAATCCAGAAGCAAGGTAACATAGCAGAAAATCAGCAGTGTAATTGAGCCTCAGATGGACTGTGAGAAGCGCTCCACATAAGCTTCCCACGATTAATGCTAATGAATGAACTGGGTTCTACCACATTCATAAAAGGTCCATAATAATATTGTTTACATACACTCTATTCTTCCTTCATGAATATGTGGTTTTCACAGATTCTAAAATCATAGTTACTCTCAAATATCTGATGATAAAAAAAATTAGGTTACAATATGGAGAAGCAACTTTACAACCATGAAAAGAACTCTACAATTTATTATGAGCATTATAATATATGGATTTATTTATTTATCCACATCCACCAACCGTACTACAAGGTCTGTTCAAACTAACCAATCAATATACTGAACAACTCAGCCTTCAGCTTCGTATGATTTCATTTTCCTTTCCTTCTTGTGACATTATAATTTTGTGCTCTGAGTTTACTATAACTATTATTACTGGTTTTGTCCACATGCTCACAAACTAAAGGAAAAGACAAAAAAGCTTTTAGATCACCTAATCAGTACCCTTAGGGGAAAAAAAAGCTAATGGAAACAAAGATCTTTATATTTTTTCTGTATGGGATAAAACAAATGCCTTGTGTGGTTTTAATTATTTCATAAACATATTTTAGCATAAATAGCAAAATAAAGTACCTATTGTGAAAAGCTCAGCAGCTCCCAATTTTGTGATGGTACCAACTTCTATAATCAAGTCTACAGTCCCTACATCTGGCCACCTTTGAAATCAAATAAACCAGCAACAAAACTATGATTCTTTTTGATGTAACATGTTTACAGAGGTGCTATTGTTGTTCTTCCTCTTTAGTACGGTGCTTTTTGCTTACTAACCAAATAATATTACCAAATTACTTCCAGTTATCTAAATTCGGTAGCTAATTTAAATAGTCTTTTCTTTGTTTCCCCAAAGGTCTGTGTGAGTAAGAACACATCTACTAAGAACTATGGACAAATCATCCTCTGCTATGTAAAAATCTCGAAGTATCCAAAATATTTGGGATTTCCGGGATGTAGGAAGAGGCTACAGCTCTTGTATAAATAGGAAACCTAGGCCACAGGGAGAAAACCAAGGTCAGCTGTGAATGTGCAAAGCCCTGCAAAGTTACATTTCTGCTTCTGGCTACCCATTTCCACTTATCTTGGTAAGTCTATTGTTAGTCTGCTGCTGATCAATTCTATTAGTAATTTAATACAAAAACAAGTTTTTCTTGTTTCTTATTTGTAAGAGCAGAAAAAGAAGAGAAAACTGATTGAGGCTGCCCAGAACACCCCGACCCAGTTTTATCCCAAGATTCTCCTTTAGGAACAATGCATCTGCCATATCACAGAAGGTAACTTCTGGGTTTCTTGGAAACTGGGATGCTTCTGTTTCTTACATTCAAAATGTACTGAAGAAACAAACTTAGGTGTTATGCAACTTAATAAGCAAGTGAACTATTTACTTTCAAAATGATTGTCCAGGTCAATAAATGTGATTTTTGGGACACCTGGGGCTCAGTTGGTTAAGTGTCTGCCTTCAGCTGAGGTCATGATCCTAGGGTCGTAGGATTGAGTCCTGCATTGGACTCCTTGCTCAGTCAGGAGCCTGCTTTTCCCTCTGTCCGCTCTGCCTGCTCTGCCTGCCATTCCCCCTGCTTGTGCTCTCTCTCTCTCTGACAAATAAATAAATAAAATCTTAAAAAAAATAAATGTGATTTTTAACCATCCTTTCTAGCCAAAATAATAATAATAATAATAATAATAATAATAATAATAATAATAATGTCTCAAATTTTTACTACTTTTAACAGTTCCACTGAATATTATCTAATCCCTCTTCCTATTATGGGACCTCCTAGCCTTCCTACACAACCTTTCTGCATCTTGACTTAAATAAGATATATAACTATTTTGTAAACTTCTGTTTAAAAAAAAAAAAAATAAAGGAGACCACTCTGAGAAGTATTTCAAAGCTCACCACAGCAACTCCTCAGAAAGAGACGAGTAAAAAGCATTCAATTTTGCCATTGGTTTCCTAAAGAACATTCTTGAAGGCCCCTGGAAAACCATGTTCATTTCTAAAATGACTGTCTAAAAATTTAAATAAATAAAATAAAATTACTGTCATCTTTACAGTTACTTGCTATTTTTCTTTTTTGTCTCCATTCCATCCTCTCATTTAAATTTATTCTGATTTATAAAACTTCTACACATTTAGAAATATTCTAGGATTCTACATATGTATCTTTTGTTACACAGGAAGAAAAATATGATTTGCTTTGCAACTCTGTGACTTTCTATGAGATATATTCTAGCTAAAGAAGAAAAGATGAAAAGCAAAGTATTAATCTTCAATAAGTTTATATACTATGCAAAGTTAAGTTGTGGATGCCAGTCTTCTATCAAACTCTAAACCCTGAGTTGGTTTCCACAGGTAGCCCTGTGCTTATGCCAAGCGGTACAGGAGGGAAATGGCACCTGCCAGTTCCTTTATTTCTGGAAGGGTCTCTCTGTGAATGCTGACTCTCTGGGACATGCTCCAAGATGAGCAAACACCCTCCCCACTGTGTGTCCCAGGTGCTCCTCAGATCATTGTTTCCATGCTGTGTGTCCAAGGGGTTGTTTGCCTGCCTCTCTCGAAGTCTATCCCAGACAAGCCTGCTGACCTTTAAAATTCCAGGCTTTCAGCCTCACTGGTTGCCAGATGTTATGAAATTCATTCCTTCTCACTTTCAAAGGCAATTACCATGGGGATTTGTTTTCCCTTTGTGCACCCCTGTGTGTTAGTCTGTCTCTCACCACTCTCCATGACTATGGCTCCCTCCCTACCTCCAGCACCACACTCCCTTTCTCTCCCAAACTGCCTCCCCACACTTCCTACCTTCTTTGATGTGGCCTCTTCTCTACCTTTAGTTGTAGAATTTGTTCTGCCAGCCTACAGGTCAGTTTCTGATGTATTTAGGATGATTTGATAGTTACCTAGTTATATTTGTAGGATAAAATGAGCCTCAGGTCACCCTCCTACTTCACTGCCATCCTAAACATTGATTTTTAAAATAGGTGTAGAGACTTATGCAAAGGATACAAAAATACTGATTTGAAGGGATACATGCACCCCAATGTTTAATAGTAGCATAATCAACAATAGCCAAATTACGGAAAGAGTCCAAATGTCTACTGACTGATGAACAGATAAAGAAGATGTGATATACATGTACAATGGAATATTACTTAGCCATAAAAAAGAATGAAATCTTGCCATTTGCAATGATGTGGATGGAGCCATACAGTATTATGCTAAGTGAAATAAGTGATTCAGAGAAAGACAAATACCATATGATTTCACTTGTATGTGGAATTTAAAAAACAAAACAAATGAACATGGAAGGGTGGGGGAGAGAGGGGCAAACCAAAAAACAGACTGTTAACTATAGAGAACAAACTGATGGTTACTGCATGGGAGGTAGGTGATGGAATGTTAAACAGGTGATGGGTATTCAGAAGGGCACTTGTGATGAGCACTGGATGTTGTATGTAAGTGATGAATCACTAAATTCTACATCTAAAACTAATATTGCACTGTATGTTACCTAGCTGGATTTAAATAAAAACTTAGAAAAATAAAAAAAATTAAAAATTAAAAAATTAAAAAGAAGACAGTAACTTACAAGGGAAAAACCATAAGGCTAGCAGATTTTTCAGCAGAAACTTTCCAAGCCAGGAGTGGCATGATATATTCAAAGTGCTGAATGGGAAAATCCCTGGCCAAGGGACTGATAGCAGGCTATCATTCAAAAATAGAAGGAGAGATAAAGAGTTTCCTAGACAAATAAAACTAAAGGAGTTCAACCACTAAACCAGCCCTGCAATAAATATTAAAAGGGACTCTTTGAGTGGAAAGGAGAGACCAAAAGTGACAGTATAAAGGTAAGAAACACAAAAGCAGTAGAAATGAATATTTCTGTAAAAAATCAGTCAAGGAACTCCCAAAATAAAAGGATGTAAAATGTAACAACATATAACTACAATGTGAGGAGGAAAAGAGTAAAGAATGGGTTCAAACTTAAACGACTGCCAATTTAACATAGACCGCTATATGCAGAAGATATATATATACCTAATGGTAGCTACATATCAAAACCCACTAATAAATATGCAAAGAATAAGGAAAAAGAAATCTAAATATATCACTAAAGAAAATCAGCAAATCGTGAAAGAAAGACAAGAAAATATCAGAGAAAATCTTCAGAAACCATAAAACAAATAATAAAATGACAATAAATGCTTATATGTCAATAATTATTTTGAATGTAAATGGACTAAATGTTCCAATCAAAAAACACAGGATGACAGAATGGATAAAAAAACAAGACCATCTATGTGATGCCTACAAGAGATTCATTTTAGACCCAAAGACAACTGCAGACTGAAAATCAGGGAATAGAGAAACATCTATCATGCAAATGGAAGTGAAAAGAAAGCCAGAGTAGCAATACTTATAACAGACAAAACAGACTTTAAAACAAAGACTGTAATAAGAGACAAAGAAAGACACTATATAATAATAAAGGGGACAATCCAAAAAGAAGATATAACAATTGTAAATATTTATATACCCAATATAGATGCACCCAAATACATAAAACAGTTAATAACAAACATAAAAGAACTAATCGATAATACAATCATAGTAGGGGACTTTCACAGCCCACTTACATCAATGGACAAATCATTTAAACAGAAAATCAGCAAGGAAACAGCGGCTTTGAATGACAAACAGGAACTGATCGATTTAACAGATATATTCAGAACATTCCATCCTAAAACAGCAGAATATACATTGCCTTCAAGTGTACATTCTCTAGAATAAATCACATATTACCCCACTAAACAAGCCTCAACAAATTCAAGAAATCAAGTCATATCATGTATCTTTTCTGACCACAACTCTATGAAACTAGAAGTCAACCACAAGAAAAAATCCAGAAAGACCGCAAATGTATGGGAGGTTAAATAACATGCTATTAAACAATGGATGGGTCAATGAGGGGGGGAAAAAAGTACATGGAAACAAATGAAAATGAAAACACAACAGTCCAAAACCTCTGGGATGCAGCAAAAGCAGTTCTAAGAGGGAAGTTTATAGCAATAGAAGCCCACCTCAAGAAGCAAGAAATATCTCAAATAAATAATGTAACCTTACATATAAAGGTGTTAGAAAAACAACAACAAATAAAATGTAAAACTAGTAGAAAGAAGGAAATAATAAGGATTAGAGCAGAAACAAATGAAATATAAACTAAAAAAAACAATAGAGGAGATCAATGAAATCAGGAGCTGGTTCTTGAAAAAAATCAATAAAATTGAGAAACCTCTAACCAGACTTATCAAGAAGAAAAGAGGAAGGACTCAAATAAATAAAATCACAAATGAGAGAGGAGAAATAACAACCAACACCATAGAAATACAAACAATTATAAGAGCATATTATGAAAACCTATATGCCAACAAACTGGACAATCTAAAAGAAAGGGATAAATTTCTAGAAACACATAGATTACCAAAACTGAATAAGAAAGAAATAGAAAATTTGAACAGATCAATAACCAGCAAAGGAATTGAATCAGTAATCAAAAAAACTCCCAAGAAATAAAAGTCCAGGACCAGATGGCTTCCCAGGCAAATTCTACCAAACATTTAAAGAATAGTTAATACTATTCTTCTCAAACTATTCCAAAAATTATAAAAGGAAGGAAAACTTCCAAATTCATTCTATGAGGCCAGCATTACCCTGATACCAAAATCAGATCAAGACACCACTAAAAAAGAGAACTGCAAGCCAATATTTCTGATGAACATAGATGTAAAACTCCTCAACAAAATATCAGCAAACTAAATCCAACAGTACATTAAAAAAAATCATTCACCACAATTAAGTGGCATTTATTCCTGGGATGCAAGGGTGGTTCAATATTCACAAATCAGTCAATGTGATACATTATTACATCAATAAGAGAAAGGATAAGAACCATATGACCATTTCAATAGACACAGAATAAGCATTTGACAAAGTACAACATCCATTCATGATAAAAAAAAAAAAAAACCCTCAATAAAGTAGGTTTAGAGAGAGCATACTTCAGCATAAGGCGGCTATATATGAGAAACCCACAGCTAACATATTCAATGGTAAAAAGCTGAAAGCTTTTCCCCTAAGATAAGGAACAAGACAAAGACAGCCATTCTCACCACTTTTATTCAACATAGTACTGGAAGTTCTAGACACAGGCATCAGACAAGAGGAAGGAATAAAAGGTATCCAAATTGGTAAGGAAAAAGTAAAACTTTCACT